TTGAAAATGCATGAATTAAGATGTGAAGATAAGAAGACACACTGCCAAATTTAACATTGACTTCACTTGAAGAATTTTATCTTGACCTTGAAATAAGATGCAAGATTTAGAAGAAATACTACCAAATGCAATATTGCCTTCCCCTGAGTTATTTAATCTTTTAACTTTGACATAGAACCACAAGATTATAAAAACACATAAACCAGATCTTAAACTAGCTGTGTACTCTTCTGAAAAGATTTGTTGGAAAAGAAAAGGAACATTTTTATAGAAAAATATTGAGCGGAAATCAGTACTTTTACTGAACATTGGAAAACATTTGTAAACATATTTTTCGGCTTATAGAATATCCAGAAACAAAGTATTGGGGACTTGGGTGAGTCATCTGTTAATGACGAAGAAATCCAGGCTCTTGCTCACGGATGCACCCAACTAAAAATTGTAAACCTTGAAGGATGTCTTGGAATAACAGAACTAGACACCAATCAAATACAATTAAATCCAGTCTAACATTGCAGGAAATCCCTATGACGGATCTACTTTTTAAAAAATTATTTATATTTTATCTATTTAATTTTTGCTTTACAATTTCTTCATGTATACTTATATACTCCTGAGATACCAGCCATGTAAGAAACCACTAATTTTGATTGATTTCTTTATCACCATGACTACACAGACTGTCATTTATTTCATAATTTATTATTTCATTTTTAATTTTTTTAACAAAATCTTTATACACGTTTATAGCAATATAAAAATCATCAAAAAGAGGCATGCTTTGATTTAAGTAGTAGTGTAATTTGCTACTGCACGCATTTTTGATTAATGCCATTATGTTTTAATTAGTACCAGAATAAAGATTTACAATCCCTACAACGTCCCCAAAAAAATAACAATGAATGGGAGAGATAGACATATGTACACGATGCTGTGAAAAGGGGGTATACATACTTATTTATATTTATATTGGCCGATTTTTTTTGATTTTTATCTAAAGTGCTTATTTTTTACAGGAAGACACCAACCAAATGAGATTCAACACATTGTAACATTGCAGGAATTGTTCCCATCGGAGCTCTAATTTTTAAAATTTAATTATTAGATCTATTTATTTTTCTTTCTAATTTGTTCATGTATATTTATTATTCAAAAGACACCAAGAAATTAAGAGGTAACTAATTTTTATTTGAAACCTTAATTATTAAATCTTTTTAATTTTAATAACAAGATTATGTAATCACTCTTTTTGCTGCAAAAGTGGGTACGGAGTAAAAGAAGTTGATCCTTTTAAACTGTACAAACATTTCAGAGGACATAAACCAGATCATCAACTAGCTGTGCCCTCTTCTGAAAAGATTGTTTGAAAAGAAAAGGGATATTTTTACAAGATCAGAAATCAGTACTTTTACTGAACATTGGTAAACACATTTTGTTGGCTTACAGAATATCCAAAAACTAAGTATTGGAGACTAAATTGAGTCAACTGTTTATTACGAAGAAATCCATGCTCTTGCTCATGGATGTTCCCAACTAAAAATTGTCAACATTGATGGATGTCTTGGAAATACAGAACTAGGTATAATGGAACTAGCCCGTCATTGTCGTGGACTACGAATTGTGGATCTCAGGCAATGTCGTCAGATCACAGAGTTTAGGTGGAAACTATTTCAATTTTCACAGAGTTTGGGTGGAAACTATTTCAACTTCTTTGCAAAAATGAGGGCTGCATTATTTTCTTTATATTTGTTTCAATAAATAAAGATATATATTAAAAGTTGAACTGATAACTTCCCTTAATGTCATTTATTTTTTCATTCTTGCACACTTGTTGATCATATACACTATTTCAGCTATGTCAAGTCTCCGTACACATAGCCACTTTGAGATATCAAAGGCAAATTTAGTCAGACAATTCAATTAGGGACTGTAATTTGATTTTGAGAGATTAAGACCTTTGACAAATAGAGAGTTGGAGAAATCAAAAATTTTCCTTGTTATTAATGAAGGAGAATTAATCCTTATTAAAGACTAACTTTCAGCTGAAGCTAAATATATAAAGAGTGGAAGTTTGAGCCATCAAGTCACCTGTGTCAGTCATATCGCAGTTGTGTAAACTCCTCAAACGTTTTTATCTTTAGATGAACAATATCTATCCGGGGGGGGGGGGGGGGTCAAAACAAGTAACAAAGCTAGAAATTTTCTAAAAAGGACATTGGATTTACAATTCCATTATTCATTATCAAAAATATTTTATTTACATACTTTTAACATTACTTTCTTATAACTTTACTATTTTATTACTGCCGAGCTTTGTATTATCACTTCAAAATACGACCGGAGTCGTAGAATGAAAAAAGGCAATGGATTTCCATTGAATATGATAAAGGAGGAGATAAGAAGTTTTTTTTCCATTCTTGAAACACAGAAAATTTTGCATAAATCAATTTAGAAAGGTGGCATTTCAGAATATTCCATAGCGTAACCATGAGATTAACGGTCTGGAATCTAACGCAACAACTGCCATTATAATCATTTCGATTATTAAATTTAAAAGATTATTTCCAGTCCTCAGATAATTCATGTTGATGATGCTGGGTTAAAATATTTAAATTTTCGAGTCTTTTTTTCACATCAGACAAGCTTTTAAGGAAAGCTTACAGTTGTGTGAGACTAAATGTGTGACACACCCACCACGCGTGCGTTTGAATAGACAACAATTTTTTAGACAATGATGAAAACATTCACTCCCTTGCAATATGCATTTATAAGCATGTCAAGCAACAGACCACGTTAGATGGGTGCGATATTAATCATATTATATTAGTATTAAAAAAAATGAAAGAAGAATTAATCACAGATGACAATTATGTTGAGATAAAAAGTTAAAAATATCAAACAAATGATCTGGAGTAAGCCGGATAAATCAAATGTTGGTAATGTAATGCGATATCCACATACTGAGTTTATATCTATCAGTGTTATACAGAGATGATAGAAAAGTGTTTTTCCTGAGTCATAAAAAAACCCTTTTGGTGCTTTTAATAATGTTTGGCCCAAAAATATTTTTGAACTCCTTATATATAGGTGTAATTAGGTCATATGAATTTTTCTCGTTGTGTCACAAATGTGATATTTTCATCAATTTGCCCTGGGAAACTGCTGTGTCATTCCGGATATCTTTATATAACACCGGAAACATTTATATTGCCTTCCGAAAACAATTATATTTCCTTGCGTGCAAGCATTCTGCATATTAATTAAGTCAGATTCGAAATTAACAGAGACGGTTGCAAAGCAAATGTAAACATTTCGCAAAAAAAATCCGAACAACGACTGCGTTTTTGTTAATTTAAATTTAGAGGAACTAAGCAGACAATTTTTTTGTAAACACACATAAATGTAAAAATAATATTTTTATAACTTACAGGTGAAAACAAATATAACTGAAAGTCTTGTTATTTCTAATGAATGAGAATAGATAGCTCAACCTGGTAGAATTAAACAAAAGTTAAAAAAGCGATTGATATTAGACTAATATACTTTCAGAATAGACTTTGTACTACACAGACCTGTGTTTTTTATCTTTCCTCATGAGATCCTAACGTCTTATAAAACAATGACTGATTCATTTAACTTTTATCATATATTTCATTTTCCATACATTTAAAAAAAAATAAAGAAATACACTGTAAAAACTGGGTAATCTTGAAATTCTTTCTCTAGCCTTTATCTGTTTTTGATAAATTCATTTGCTTTATTTAAAATATCTTTGACTGTTAAATGTAATAAGTGTTCTTAAGGATGATAAATATAGACAATGCAATATAGAAATATAACAGTAACGAATAGTAATCAAGCTTAACTGGCCATCAGAAAACTCATCGATCGATCTATAGGGAGAGGGTAAAATAGGCTTTGCTTGTTGCCCAATCCCATTCACTTTTATTTGTGGATAAAAAAATTTGGATAAATAAAAATCAATCGATCTATCAATAAAAAGAACCACATGCAATCATTTCAAAGGCTGAAAGGTTACAGCTTTGCTGATGCTCCCAAGTACGAAAAGATGTTTATTTCTCAACAAATACAGTCTTTATTACTATTTTGACACATGCATAGGCAGTTATTGTATGATAAGTGCAATTAACCTTTCATTCTAAAAACAATTTCTCCATAAATCGAAAGCAAGTCTTGGTTAATGAACAGATGCTTTTTATCATCTGCTTGTACAAAGTGGAAAATCCGAACTTCAGATTTTTTTTCTTCAGAATTTATGTGACACATAGACGTGTTGAGCCAAACACTCAGATTAGCTGACCTATTTCACGTTTAACAAAGGTTACTGACTACGTTGAACGTTAGAGTGGAAATCGAAATCGCATGGCAATCATGTACACGAGTAATTTTTTTTGTCATATTGATTCAAAGAATATTTACAAAACAGTGAAAAAAAATAATAAAATGAAAATCAAGTCTTTTAACAATAATCATTCGAAGAATATGTACATTAGATCAATCTCATTTTTTCATGAAAGTTTTTTAAATTTCTTTTTTCTAAATACAAATCATGGAATATTAACAGCGATATACTATTCATTGTCACTTTTATATAATGTTAGATATAGTTGTTTGATTTATAGGTAAGATTTTTTTAAAAAAGATTTACCGATACTTGTTTAATGCCTCTATAATTCACTGTTACCAATTCAAAATCCTCAATTAATTGGTAATTAAAAAAAATAATTGAAGATCATGCTAGCATATATTTTTTGTTGTAATAAATCAAAATCTTTGTTTATCTACGAAAACACAAATATGTACTAAAGTTGAAAACACAAAATATGCTTAACTGTACTTGTTTTTTAAGTAAAACTACTAATTTTTCGGAGTAGAAATATGTGTGGCAGCCTGACCTTAATTAAAATGAATCCTCTCTCTCTCTCTCTCTCTCTCTCTCTCTCTCTCTCTCTCTCTCTCTCTCTCTCTCTCTCTCTCACCTATAATTGGGTCTACATCTTTCTCAGCACACCCTGGTTTGTCTTCTTTTCGGAGAATAAAGCTGAGTGCATCAACTCTCGCAACGTCAAATGGAATTACCTAGTTGGAATAGAAACTGAGTTAAAATCAATTAAGTATAACCACAATAATCAATCAAATCACTAGCTTCTCTTTTGAACAAAGCAAAGGAGATTAAAACTTACATCTTGTTGAGCCCTCCTTCTGTTCCCAGCCATCTAAAATAATGAAATTTTTAATGTGTTATTATTGTCAATCGGTATGTTTTGCGAAAGAGAGAAAGAAAGAGAGAAATAGAAAATGAATTAGAGAATTACCTTATAAAATTCCTTGAGTGAATACCACACTGAAAATATCCAACGAAAGAAAACAAAGTTCTATCCAAGAATCACAAAGCAAAGCCAAAAAAAAGCATATAAAATGAAGCGGAATAAAATATATTAATTCAAGCAAAGCTAAATAGAGTATATGATTTGCTAAAATTTTTATAAAAAGCTTATATGAAGGTTATATGCTAAAAACAAATCGAAAAAATCGTCCAAAAATTCTCGTTTCGAAAATGGCGTGCTTTTAGTTCTCTTCCAAAGTCAGAGAGGACACATGTAGAAAAAAGTACGCATGTGCAAATTCAGCAAATGGCCTTTAAAGGGGAACCGAGAAAAAAGGTTCTTATTAGAATTACTAAAATTGTGTAACAATAGTTCAAATTATAAACACTGACATATGTAGAACTTATATGTAAAAATAATTGTAAAATATATATATGATCCGAAATAAATTAATCAATCACCCATTTGGTTCCCCATCCTTTGAGATAGAGTGCTGAGTCATTAAAAGGCTGCTTAAAAATAACTAGAAATGCAAACTGAAGAAAAAAAATATAGTCTCGAAAATAAATTGAAAATGAGAAATCAAAATGGACTTAGTTTTTTCACCCAAAGTCCCTCATACACAGGAGCACAAGCTAATTGGTTTGAGAGAGGGAAATAATGAAAGTATTTTGTTTCTTGATGTCCATGAAGGCCAATTAGGGAATATTTCATATGTCTGTTTCTGACAGAATATGAGAACATTGATGATAAATGCTTTTCATTATGGAAGAATCAGGGACTCTAGTACTTTTATATCATTATATTCATTTCATATCAATCAGATTTTCATGCTACTTGGCAGTTATTTAGAGTCCACAAGGTATACATGCTTTAAAAAGGGAAATATCAGCTATTTACTTTTAGTCGCAGTGTATAATATGATGTTTTATGATATATTTTGATGATGTACAATGATAATTGATTATTTAGTGACATTCTTATCATGGTGCCAATGAAATCATCATATTCATTTCATATCTATCAGATTTTCATGCTACTTGGCAGTTTATTTAGAGTCCACAAGGTATACATGCTTTAACAAGGGAAATATCAGCTATTTACTTTTAGTCGCAGTGTATAATATGATGTTTTATGAAATATTTTGATGATGTGCAATGATTTTTGATTATTTAGTGACATTCTTATCATGGTGCAAATGCCAATTAAAGGTTTATGAAAGATTTCATCAAATCTCTTTGATGATCGTAAGAAACCTGAAAATGAGAAATCAAAATGGACTTAGTATTTTTCACCCAAAGTCCTTCATACACATGAGCACAAGGTAATTGGTTTGAAAGAGGGAATAAATGAATGTATTTTCTTCTTATATTGATTGAGTGTGGCAATCCCTACAAATCCAATTGCATGAAAATGATTTATAATGTCCATGAAGGCCAATTAGGGAATATTTCATATCTCTATTTGTGACCGAATATAGCAAATTGATGATCAATGCTTATCATTATGGAAAAATCAAAGACTTTAGTACTATAAAATCATCATATTTATTTCATATCTATCAGATTTTCATGCTACTTGGCAGTTATTTAGAGTCCACAAGGTATACATGCTTTAACAAGGGAAATATCAGCTAATTACTGTTAGGCGCAGTGTATAATATGATGTTTTATGATATATTTTGATGATGTACAATGATTATTGATTATTTAGTGACATTCTTATCATGGTGCCAATGCCAATTAAAGGTTGATGAAAGATTTCATCAAATCTTTTTGGAATTCTTAAGAAACCTGAAGATGAGAAATCAAAATGGACTTAGTATTTTTCACCCAAAGTCCCTCATAAACATGAGCACAAGGTAATTGGTTTGAAAGAGGGAATAAATGAAAGTATTTTCTTTTTAATTGTTTGAGTGTTGGAAACCCTACATATCCAATTGCATGAAAATGATTAATAATGTCCATGAAGGCCAATTAGGGAATTTTTCATATGTCAGTTTGACACAGAATATGAGAACATTGATGATCAATGCTTTTCATTATGGAAAAATCAGGGACTTTAGTACTATAAAATCATCATATTTATTTCATATCTATCAGATTTTCATGCCATTTGACAATTATTTAGAGTCCACAAGGTATACATGCTTTAACAAGGGAAATATCAGCTAATTACTGTTAGGCGCAGTGTATAATATGATGTTTTATGATATATTTTGATGATGTACAATGATTATTGATTATTTAGTGACATTCTTATCATGGTGTCAATCCTAGTAAAGATTTATGAAAGATTTCATCAAATTTCTTTGGAATTCTTAAGAAACCTGAAAATGAGAAATCAAAATGGACTTAGTATTTTTCACCCAAAGTCCCTGATACACATGAGCACAAGGTAATTGGTTTGAAAGAGGGATTAAATGAATGTATTTTCTTTTTATATTGATTGAGTGTGGCATACCCTACAAATCCAATTGCATGAAAATGACTCATAATGTCCATGAAGGCCAATAAGGGAATTTTTCATATGTCAGTTTGACACAGAATATGTAAAATTGATGATCAATGCTTTTCATTATGGAAAAATCAGGGACTTTGGTACTTTTAAATCATCATATTCATTTCATATCTATCAGATTTTCATGCTACTTGGCAGTTATTTAGAGTCCACAAGGTATACATGCTTTAACAAGGGAAATATCAGCTAATTACTATTAGTCGCAGTGTACAATATGATGTTTTATGATATATTTTGATGATGTACAATGATTATTGATTATTTAGTGACATTCTTATCATGGTGCCAATGCCAATTAAAGGTTGATGAAAGATTCCATCAAATCTTTTTGGAATTCTTAAGAAACCTGAAGATGAGAAATCAAAATGGACTTAGTATTTTTCACCCAAAGTGCCTCATACACATGAGCACAAGGTAATTGGTTTGAAAGAGGGAATAAATGAATGTATTTTCTTTTTATATTGATTGAGTGTTGGAAACCCTACATATCCAATTGCATGAAAATGATTAATAATGTCCATGAAGGCCAATAAGGGAATTTTTCATATGTCAGTTTGACACAGAATATGAGAACATTGATGATCAATGCTTTTCATTATGGAAAAATCAGGGACTTTGGTACTTTTAAATCATCATATTCATTTCATATCTATCAGATTTTCATGCTACTTGGCAGTTATTTAGAGTCCACAAGGTATACATGCTTTAACAAGGGAAATATCAGCTAATTACTTTTAGTCGCAGTGTATAATATGATGTTTTATGATATATTTTGATGATGTACAATGATTATTGATTATTTAGTGACATTCTTATCATGGTGCCAATGCCAATTAAAGGTTGATGAAAGATTCCATCAAATCTTTTTGGAATTCTTAAGAAACCTGAAGATGAGAAATCAAAATGGACTTAGTATTTTTCACCCAAAGTGCCTCACACACATGAGCACAAGGTAATTGGTTTGAAAGAGGGAATAAATTAATGTATTTTCTTTTTATATTGATTGAGTGTTGGAAACCCTACATATCCAATTGCATGAAAATGATTAATAATGTCCATGAAGGCCAATAAGGGAATTTTTCATATGTCAGTTTGACACAGAATATGAGAACATTGATGATCAATGCTTGTCATTATGGAAAAATCAAAGACTTTAGTACTATAAAATCATCATATTTATTTCATATCTATCAGATTTTCATGCCATTTGACAATTATTTAGAGTCCACAAGGTATACATGCTTTAACAAGGGAAATATCAGCTAATTACTGTTAGGCGCAGTGTATAATATGATGTTTTATGATATATTTTGATGATGTACAATGATTATTGATTATTTAGTGACATTCTTATCATGGTGTCAATCCTAGTAAAGATTTATGAAAGATTTCATCAAATTTCTTTGGAATTCTTAAGAAACCTGAAAATGAGAAATCAAAATGGACTTAGTATTTTTCACCCAAAGTCCCTGATACACGAGCACAAGGTAATTGGTTTGAAAGAGGGATTAAATGAATTTATTTTCTTTTTATATTGATTGAGTGTGGCATACCCTACAAATCCAATTGCATGAAAATGATTAATAATGTCCATGAAGGCCAATAAGGGAATTTTTCATATGTCAGTTTGACACAGAATATGTAAAATTGATGATCAATGCTTTTCATTATGGAAAAATCAGGGACTTTGGTACTTTTAAATCATCATATTCATTTCATATCTATCAGATTTTCATGCTACTTGGCAGTTATTTAGAGTCCACAAGGTATACATGCTTTAACAAGGGAAATATCAGCTAATTACTATTAGTTGCAGTGTATAATATGATGTTTTATGATATATTTTGATGATGTACAATGATTATTGATTATTTAGTGACATTCTTATCATGGTGCTAATGCCAATTAAAGGTTGATGAAAGATTCCATCAAATCTTTTTGGAATTCTTAAGAAACCTGAAGATGAGAAATCAAAATGGACTTAGTATTTTTCACCCAAAGTGCCTCATACACATGAGCACAAGGTAATTGGTTTGAAAGAGAGAATAAATGAAAGTATTTTCTTTTTATATTGATTGAGTGTTGGAAACCCTACATATCCAATTGCATGAAAATGATTAATAATGTCCATGAAGGCCAATAAGGGAATTTTTCATATGTCAGTTTGACAAAGAATATGAGAACATTGATGATCAATGCTTGTCATTATGGAAAAATCAAAGACTTTAGTACTATAAAATCATTATATTTATTTCATATCTATCAGATTATCATGCCATTTGACAATTATTTAGAGTCCACAAGGTATACATGCTTTAACAAGGGAAATATCAGCTAATTACTGTTAGGCGCAGTGTATAATATGATGT